AAATATATAATAAATTATTACAAAAATTTTAATCATATACAGTATTTATAGTAGCAATTTTAGGAGCACGAATAAGTTAGTATTTTAGTCATATATAATGTACACTAATATGAGGTGTGGTTTAATGAAATTTGTGATTCATATTTACATTAAAAACAACTGATTTACGCTTTAAAACGATTTATTTATATTGAGAGGGCAGGTAATGATTAGTTTAATAGTAACTTTTATAGTGTATTATAATTTAGTACAAATAAAAGTTCTGCAGCTTCTTAATTTATACCCTGGTAATTTATGATCAATTTTTAGCATTATATACAGTAAACAAATTTTAATAGTTTTATAATAACTAGCTATGACTGCAACCCCTTATAAATTAATGAACATAAATGAAGTAAAACAAATGTTTGTGGCCATACATAAAACTATTGGACAGTTGGACCGGGAATTGGCGTACAGTGCAATAAATACCGTTTTCTACACAATATACGGGAATATGATGTGTGTATTTTTTATTAGCAAGCTCAATGATTTACCATATTTGCGTACAATGACTATAATATTGGGTCTAAGCTGTTGTTCATTTTCGGCACAACTCATCATTTCGTGTCTGATTTGTGGCAAAGTGTGGAATAAGTCGTTTGCAGTGATCGCCGGTTTGGACGCAATGAGTGCCCGGGAGTTGAGGCCAAAGGCATTCAAACAATGGCTCACTTTGGCTAATGTGTGGGCAAAGGGCCGGACGTTTGGCTTTACTATCGGAGGTTTTGCCAGATTTAATAAATCCACACTAATTGCTGTAAGTATTGTTTTAGTATTTTGGTGATCGATTTAAATTTAGTAACATTTAGACTAATTGTCAACTATTGTATCTATTTCTCTCAATATAGATCTCCACGTTTGTACTGAACTATACTGTAATTATACTGCAAATGAAAAGTTGATTTCATATTTAATAATATAATTCATCATTGTTTTAATAAAAATTCTGTCAATTTACATTATTATTTTTTAATTATTTCATTTATTTATCATGTTTAAAAAATTAATTTGATAAACATAAAATGCACTCTGTTTAAAATCGGGCGACAAACACATAATTTAAAAATGTCAAAAAACGTTACAAATAGATTATAGTACATACTATACATACTTTATCGTACATACATATTGAAAATAATATACAGTATTTAAACAAAATTAATTAATTTATTTCATTCACTTATTTTCTATTGTATTATGATATAACTTATTGATTAACAATTACCAGATGCTATAATAATTAATTATTAATAACTATAATTTAATGTTATGTAATGCAACTCTAGCCAATAAATTGTATATAAAGCAACATTTCATTGTATTGAAAATTAGTAAATAATCAACTTTTTGATTAACCGTTGTGTTACTTATTACAAATACAACCATTGATTGCGACAATGTCTACAAAATTGATTGTACTAGCTGTATTTCTGATGGTAGGCCACAGTGCCTACGGTTACACATACGACGAGAAGGTACAGGGATTGACTCAATACATAGCAGGTTTGACCGTTGGTTCGGACCCCAGTGTTCTACCAAGTAATGTGTGCGAGATCAAGATCTCCACCGATGCCGCTAAAAGAACCTTGGCCAAAATACCTGATTTGTCAAACTTCCCTGATCATAATGAAAATCGAAATTATTACTGTTGCTTGCATTGGGTGATCTTCGACAGTTTACGAGAAACTGCCCAGGTTAGTAACTAACTTTTTACCAATTACATAATTATAAATGAGTAAGATATTTTGTAAAACTATTTTAATTTATAATGGAAATAATTATTTTTTAGGCCCAGTGCACTTTAAATGAAATAAAAACCATTAATGATCGAGTAGATATGATGACCAACATATTGGTTACTGGGTGTAGCGATTATAAGTATACCAAGGACATCCAAACATGCACTGAATAAACGAAACAATTATGTGTTAACAAATTCTATTTGAATATAAAATGTAATAAATTTTTAATTTGCAAAATTTTACTTTTAAGTAAAATTATTTTTAATAAATAAATATATAAAGAATTTATAATAAATAATGATATTGTTGTACAGTCACAAGAGCATATAATTATTTTTAGATTATACATTATTATTTTATAAAATATAAAATAATTTTAAATGTGATAAATAGATATACCAATTTAGAAAAGTATATAGTTTATTAAATTAAATTAAACAATTTTGTAGATTATAATTAAATTGTTACATTATTTATTCTTTCAGCGTATAATTATTTTCGTGATTGTAACAAAATGACCGTATAGTTTAACATAAAAGTCATAATCTAAATGAATGCAAAATGAAATAATATTTGATGAATGTAAATATTTTATAATGCTTTATATAATAATTATCATTATATTTACTGCAATTAGTGTTGATTTATTAAGCGTAGCAAATCCGCCGATAGTAAAGCCACATTTGCGGGAATCCTTTATAACGTCCTTAAATAACAGCAATTCCCGGTACTCGGGGTCAGTCAGATGGGGACCATTCACACCATTTAACACTGCGTTCAGTTCATTACATTTCTGACCGACTAAACCGCATATCACACACGAGACCACCAATTGTACCGTAAGTACGGCACCCGACAGGGCTATTGAGTTAACAGAATATTTTACCATTGGATGGTCTGACATGTAAACCATTACATAGATAGACATCATTACTGTAGACACAGTAATCATAGCGTTAGAAATTAAATGATTAGCCAAGTTGCCATCAAGGTGCTTTATTGATTTAGTTATATGGGCCAGTAGGCGTTTGTTTTGATATAAAATTTGGTATTTATTCGCACGCAGATTTTCTAGTTAATTAAATAATTTAATTTTATTAAGTTAACTTTAATCAATTAAGTTTATGAATGTTATATCAATTACTAACTTGTTAAACCAATTAACTCTATAGCAATTTCATTTAGCATAATCTCGGATAATTGTGAAACAATCCAGATTATTGATGGAGTTAGCCATACATAATAAATTACTTGCACTCGCTCAATTGTAACCAATAAATAAGTAATGTTCTCAAATTTTACCATATTATAAGCTACAGTTATGATGATACCAATGAGATTGAGTGCCCATAACATGAATAAAACAATTATTCGCCGAGTAAGCATGCATTTACTATTCAAATACGGTCGGCCAAAGTACATGCTAATTTGTTCAATGAACTCAAAACCACCTCGACTATTATAATAATACATAGAGTAAAAACGCGTGTAATGATGTGTAATCATCATAATTATTACTAACGCCAATGTGAATGACTCAAAATTTTGCTTAATAGCGTTATTAAAATTAAATAGAATAAACGCCAATAATTCCAAAATAAACATGGTGATTGTTACCACGATATTGATATAACCGTAGTATTTCCATACTTTACTCACGTATAGTCGCCCCTTGCGGTCAATGGCAACGCCACCAAATGTTATGCCAAACACACGGTTTATATAAAGTATCAGGATGCATATAGTAATTATATGTGAATTTAGATAAGTTAGCATTATGATTTAAATTTATTTAAGCAAAGCTTGAATTAGTTTTGTTGTGGCTCAATTAAATTGATGTTAATTGAATGCGACTATCTAGTGCAATATATTTTTGCACTAGATGTTTTAGTACATATCAATAAAGTTGCTTAATATGTTATGAGTAATTTATTTAAATTTATATTGATTTGATGAATAATGTTTATTTTTGTCATTATAAATAACAGAATCATTTACTTTCTTAAATAAATAAAACATTATGTAAATAAGCATACGATTGCATGTATAACAAATTATATTGGTAAGACATTTAAATTATGTTATTTTATTATAATTGATAGCACATTAATTTATTTACCTACAAACAAATGTTAGTGTAATAATATTTTATATTATTGTTAAATACTATTATTAAAACTATTATTGTAATTTAATTATCATTTGTTATTTATATTATTCTATTATCTTATTTATTAAACTATTAAATTTCTATATTAATTAATTGTGATTTAATAATTAATTCATATTAATACAGTCAGGGAAATTTCTTTAACAACTACTATAATTAACACACACTTAATTAATTGTAATGCTAAATTATACTATTTTTATTTTAAATTATAATTAATTAAATATTGAGAGAACTGGTATATGAGTGGCCTAAATATTTCACAATTTTATCTACACGGTTTCATAATTAAGCTTTTAATATATCAGTTTTACTAATAAATCGGCAATATTATAGTACAAGTTTCCAGTTTAATCATTATCATAGTATGATATAATCTAATGATCTAGCCAAAATGTGTAAATTGCCATAGGTTATTGAGTTATGGTTAGTTTTGTGATTACACACGCAGTGTTCATAGAATTGGATTTTGATGATTACTTATGTGTGAAAAATTATTTTTAACAAGCTAATGAGTAAACTCGATAGTTGTTCCAGAATAATCCCAATTAAATTATAAATTATTAAAAATGACTTTACTAATATAAAAATGAATTAACTGTAAAAATTAATCTAGATCATTTGTTCTCTTTGCTCCAAAAGTATTTAATTTTAAATTATTTGAATGATATTAGTGTAAAGCAAATGATTGCATTACAGTTGTTACATTTTATGGTGATTTTAGTATCTGTAATAATATAACAGTATAGTTTAAAATAAATATCAAGATTTAAGTTTAAAAAACAATTAAATCATTATAACTTAATCTAATATTAATTCATTTTATAATTATAATTAATTCTAATAATATTATAATTCAATTAATGTTTCAATTAATTCTAGATAAACTATTAACGATAAATAGTATATATTTGTTAAATATAATAAAATATTAATTTAATTTTGCCATTACATTAATAATTATTAGATGAATTGTAATAATTATACAAAAACTTAGTGTTTATAAATTATTAATGATTTATTTATTCAATTTTGTGTCATGCTTATATTTTACAAATTTTAATATCTTTCACGTATTTATAAGTTTCGCATTGATTTTCATTCATAAATGCAATCATTTGATCTTCAATTGTGCCCATAGTCTCGGCCTCAGGTGCCGTACAATCGGTCTAATCAAACAAAATTCATCATGTTTAAAATATTAAATTTTTAAAACTTAATAAGGAAATTCTAAGTTATATAAACTCACCTTCCCAGCATCCCTGAGGCAATCTAAACCCAACCACAATATACAACACCTGTACTCTACAAAAGGGCACTCGGGGTCATAATCGGGCACTTTTTTCGCAACACACTTGTCGGCATCAAGATAACTCTTAGCGTAACATGGGTCTTTTGCCAAATCTTCAGCAGGGTCGTTGTCGATAGCAGACAAAAATTTACTAATTACATTTTGATTAATAGTTACACAACTGGTTAGGCCGGCCAACAGTACAATAGTCAACAACATAGTTATTTTGTTCGCCATACTTTTATTTATATTACAGTATTTAATCTGTTGTTTTAGCAATAAACCTATTAATTTTTACTAACTATATAATTTTTAAATGACGATTATTCACTATTTATATATTAATTTTAATCTAGATTATTTTGCCGTATTAATAATAAGGTTACATGAATATGGTGTAATGAGCATACAAAGTAATTTTATTTAATAATCAAAGCAAAATGCTCTCAATGCTGATAATAAATTATCTATTTAGTAAAATAACCGTGTGCACTTACAATTTAACCCATTAGCTAACAAAAATAGTAAAATAGTTATAACAAACCATAAAGCATCATTTAAAATTATAACAATATATTTACAGTAATAATTAAAATTTTTATAATAAAATTAAGTAATTTAAGTTAATTTTAAAAACATACGAAAAAATCAAAATACATTTATTATTTTTATAAATGTACTTTTTTACAATAAGTTATTGTAAATTCTTTAAATAGATAAATATATAACATTAAAAACAACGTTCATATGAGTCACATATGAGAAGTTAACACCTGGTGTTTTTTAAAATTAAATCTTAAATTATTATAGAATATATATTACAAGAATTTTTAATTTAGCCTTAAAATATAAGGTTTAAATATTTTTGTAGTAAACATGTAAAAATACTAAAAAATTTACAGTAATTTCTAAAATTATCCTCATATAATTTAAAACAAGATATATTTATTATATTATAACATAAACATAAATTTTGACCAAATCAATAATATTTATACAAATTCATTAATTAGGTTATTATGTTTGTGGCATATATTAAATTATATATACCGTACAAACCGTACTGAAGTACTAATAAAATATAAATTTAAGTATTAAAGTAAATTATTAATTATGGTATTTTTTTAACAATAAAAACTTTAATATCAATGGCACATATAAAACAGTAATTTTAATAAATATTAAATTATAAATTGATTTTTTCAGATAATAAATATATTTTATAAATTTTTACTAACATTATTAAAAGTGGGTTTCAATTGTTTGTATCATGGGTAAATTACCATTGTTATATTATTATTTCCTATTGTGTTTCCTATGGGTTAATCGCTTATATGGCATTACATTTGGGGGTCTGGCCATAGACTACCACAATAATGTATTTAGGATATTTAATAATAAATTCTGGCGTATATATGGATATATTATGGTTGCTTTATTATCTATATATTCATTAGTATACAATTATCTAGCTTACACAATAAATTAAAATGAAATTAATGATTCATTTAAAATATAGCTAGCCAACCTTTTTTAGTATATCACAAATACAGATTCACAGTATGCCATAAAAAGGTGGCGCAACGGTTTAGGTTTGTCTGTATTAAACGAGAAACACCACGTGAAG